TACCAACTCTAATTCCAAATAAATAATCTGTTGAGGCGTTTCATGGTGGATTTAATGAAACTAACTTAATGTTGATGTTGGTGTATTTTCTTAGTAAACTTGTTTTTGACCATTTATAGCCTTTTCACCCTGCATAAAACTTGCTTTCTAGCATGTGGCTTGATAGTAGCCAGTTTTACAAGCACAACTTGCAGACTACATCGTTTACAACTTACAATTGAGCTTGATTCAGTCACTGTTGATAACTTTGGTTTTAGACGAATGGTAGCTTTGTTGTCTGGTTGTTCATGATACGCTTAGAGCATTTCGTGATATGTTGCCTTTTTTTGTTGTTTCTTCCTTTTAGTAGCATCGCTTTGATGTGCCTGCTTCTCCTACCTCTCTGATTCGCAGTACTCTTCAGTGGAGGAAGCTGTGGCTATGAGAATGCTGTCTACAACCTCCAGTGGCCCCCAAACAACCACAACTATTTGATCGCTGAATTTGTCGATCCAGAAGAGGTAAAGCTCAAACTTGAAACTCCTCTGCCATCTCAAGTGCCGATCAGTCCGAGCACAGTTGCAGCACCGCAGGCAGCAACCTTCCAACAGCCAGAGGCTAACCAAACCCTAGTAGCTCCCCATGCTCCTGCTACTTCAAGGGGTTTGTTGCCCACTCCAGCACCATTTTGCCAAGCTGCCTCCCACCTCTGACCCTGGACCAGCAAGGAGAGAGCCTTCCTCCCCCTCCTCCAATGAAGCTGGAACCTGCCCGGACACTGGATGAACTCTTCAAGAAGACACAGGCGTACCCAAGGATTTACTACATGCCACTGTCAGAAGAGGAGGTATCTGCTAAACGTGCAGCTCACGACAATGGTAAGAGGGGATAGTGGGCTCTAGTTTGTCGCTTAAGCTGGTATTTTGGCATCTTGTACTTGTCACAGCTGTTTTCAGATGCAACCGTACTCTTGTCACTGCACGTCAATCGACAGGTTCTATTCTCGCACCTGACTCTACCAGACCAGCAGCTGCAGCTCTAGGAAGAACTGCTGCACCGTCCTTGTCCCTACATTTAGCTGGTAGTGTGTTGAAACTTGAAAGGCTTTAGTAGTTTGCTGTGAGGGAAGGCCTGATTGGGACATTGGGTACGTGGTATTTTGGAGCTAAGAATACCGTGGTATCTCCAAAGCACGTGTAATTTTGGCATTCTATAGAGTACCATGGTTTGTCAAAACTAAGATGGTGACAAAACATCAGGGATTTGGGTCCAAGAGATGGTGTACATGCAGCAAGTTGACAGCATGTCAGCAGTTTTGCACTAAGACCCGTTCAGTTCGTCTTGCTGCTGCTCCTATCGCGCTTTATTGTAATAGCATAAGCATCTTATCGCGCTTTATTGTAATAGCATAAGCATCTTATCGCGCTTTATTGTAATAGCATAAGCATCTTGTAGATGCATTTTGAATCTACCCTGCAATGCAGTTTTACTAGAAAACATGGCGCGGCGTTGCGCCGACTTGGGCTTTCCCATCGGAGAACCTGTGGGTACAGTATTTGCTATTGGTCAATTTATTCTTGTTATTACTTTTTAAGTTCATATCTGTAATGGTTTACAACTGCTAAGCAGAAAGCTGCTAAAAATAAATGGATTGCACCATAGTTATTAAGGCGTCGCTTAGGTGTCTGGGCGCTTTTCCAATCGAGGCGTCGTGCCCGCCGCGACCTCCCTGCATATGGTGTCGCCTCACGCGGAAAGGCGTCGCCAAGGCGTCCGACCGACGCCGCAAGAGCGAAAAGGCGGCTGCAGGCGCAGGGAGAAGTGCGCGGAGCGACGCGCGGGCGGACGAAAAAACGAGAGGCAGCTGTGTGCGTAGGTGAAATCGCGCGGGAGGACGCGCAGGGGAAATTGGGCGCCTATACTTTCCCCAGGGGCGCGCCCCACCCTGCAGCTCGTCAATTGAGAGAGAGGAGGGAAACAGAGGAGATTGGGGAAGAGAAGATGGATGTGGAAGCACCTGGAACGCGCCCCGTCCCATCCAGCCACTCTTGCCCCTTCTGCTCCGCCGATTCGCGGCACCTACTACTGCTCCACGGCCTCCTGATCTCCGCTCCGTCAGCTGGTGCCTCCGACATCCAACCTCGCGTCCTCGCCCACGGATCCGCGCCTCCGACGGTCGGACCTATGCCCCGTCGAGGACTGCCTGCTTCCGCTTCTACATGGGCTCTCCTTCATCTGCTTGCTTCCCTGCCAGCAGGCCAGGCCCAGCACCTTCGGTCCTTCACGTAGGCTCTTCTTTTCTCTGTTTTTTCTATTATGTCCCTCCTCTGTTCAAGAGTCTGGACTATATTGCCTCTTTGCTTATGCTTTAGATCTTGGACTTGGATATGGATATACTCCAGTCTCCTGTGATGTATTATGCTGCTTGTGATTAGATAATTGGATACGGTATAAACTGCTCTGGCTAGTGGTGCTGGCTGCTTGTGCATAGGCTCTAAAATTGGCAGCAAAAAGGTGTGTATCAATGTATGTTTGTCCTGCCCTAATGTAGGTGAGGGTATGTGTATGGCGCCGCCTATAGCATGGCCTTTATTCGCCTAGGCGTCTGAAGGAGTGGGTTGCCACGCCTAGCCTTACATATTAATAACTATGGATTGCACAGCATATAACTAAATATCAACAACTAATCATGCACGCATCACTCTAAATCCATAATATAGAATATATAGGGAGAAAAACACATGAAAATCTCAACCATGCACCTGATGATATGAAAAATTAGTCCTCTTAATGCAACACAAAAGTAGAATAATGTTTAGCAATTGAATTTAATAGACCAAAAGGAGAACACAGTACACAACTTCCTTTGAAATCTAAATATACAACTACAATGTTTTCAATATTCTTAGTACAAATAGATGCAGCTCACCTGCATGTTCTTGAGAAAAAAAACTACAACATAAGTGTAGACTATTGTGTTGCAAATGAACACAGCTCAAAGTGGAGGAAAAGTTACAATGGTAACTCTTGTAACTTCACCTGCAATAAAGTGTTGCAGTCTTATGGTAGAAGTGGAATATGAAATATGCAAAAAAGAAAGAAAGAAAGAAAGAAAGGATTCATCTTAAGAACTTTGGAACAGAGACAACGTACCCTGTTCGCTTGATCGTATCAGCCATGCTTATCAGTCATGATATAATGTTTTTCTCTCACAACAAAACAGCATCAGCCGGTTTATAAGCCATAGAAACAATCAAGCGAACTGGGTGGTAGTAGGCAGGTAGCTCAGGACAGAGAATAGTATATTTTACGCCATCTCAGGATCTACATTACTACTCTTAGGAATATCTACAAAACAAGATCAATACATCAGTAACGGCTTCAGCTGCCTAGGTAAAAAAACATAAGATAATAGCATTAAGATGATGTGGCAAAGTAGATGATAATGTCAAAATTGTCCCTGAACACCTTTTTTTGGACAGAACCAGAGGATAAAACAAAAGAAATCCTTACTGAGAATTCACACCATAGTGCCTTAGTCTGTCTAAGGTCAATAATTGGTTGTGATGACCTTTTCCTTCTGGTATATATTGTTAAGCCATGAGATCTGACTATACATCTCAAGGATCATAGCCTAGAATTGCTTCCAACACATGCACAAAATATCAATGTAGTGATGGGGACGTGTCACAAAAAAAATTCAAGTAATCTGATTCTTGCACTATATAAGATTAGAAAAAAAATAAAGTGCACTATGTAAGAGTAGCCGAATGTATCTCTTATGGATCAGCTAAAACTTCATAGCAACTACAATTTACAGAAATTAGGAATTGTCCAATCAAATAAGGTTCCTTCATTTTAGATTTGATTTTTTGACAAAAACATATTTAGATAAACTTACCAATTGTAGCTGACGTTAGCCTACACAAAAAAACGAATCTGCAGAAGATAGCACATGGACATTTATTCGTTCAAACAACTGGGAGTAGGGCAGGCAAAGGTAGGCAGAGGAGAGGAAGGAGACTGGGCAAGTACCATCCAGCTTCCTGGCTCCTGAGCTTGTCTCTCATCGCATACATTGCAGAGCCTCTTAGCTATTCCCGTCGTCGCTGGATGATCAATAGTAAGTAAGAATTCGGCGAATTTTGGACAGTAATCTTGCTACTCATGGAATAACTTTGTGACAAGATCATAACACTTAATTCACATGGACGATCATGTTTCAGAAAATTTGCCACACCAAAATAAGCTTACGACCTTCAGAGAAAAGAATGGTTGGTTGTATATGCAATTATGCATTCAATGAGTTAAGTCAATTAAATTGTATAGCTATGAAAAGACAGCCAGGTAATATGAATACACTTCTTTGCTTGTACAATGATCAATATCTTCAGCAAGCTTGCATCATGCTCCCTTGAATCTAAGTCGCATTTCTATGTTTCATCCAAAATTATCTCTGTAAAGTGCTACTCGGCTACAACTGCTTGAAACATTAACTATTCAGAGAGTACCTTACCTTGCTGGCATTTCCTCGAGCAGCTGTTGGCCGTCGTCCATGTGGTCGACCACCCTGTATGCTAGGACGCTTACCGGCGTGCTCTGTGCCGCAGGAAGCCGCATAGGGGCGCGTGGGCGGCACGACACTGGTGTCGCTGGCCTTTTTTTCATCGTGTTCATCTTACGCGGCGCTGGCGCGGACCCGAGGTTCTGCACGGGCGACGGGTGGCGGCAGGCAGGCATCGGGGACGAGAAGAGGTAGGAGCAGAGGGACTCCGGTGCCTTTGGCTTGGGGACGGGGCGGAGGAGTGGAGCATGGCCACGGAGGAAGCAGCGAACACCGGCACGAGGAGGGGCAGGCGGGGAAGGGACCTCGCAGCATAGTGGACGCGGCGCCATCGTGGTGCTGCGGGACCTCAGCGCGCGTCTGATTAGCGCATGCGGCCACCGGCCAGACCAGATCTTGTAGCGGAGGCAGCTCGTGCCGGGGACAAGGCCGAGAGGCCGGTGCTCGGGGACGGGCGACCTGGAATGCTAGCTGCAGTGGCACACTCAACGTTCGATCAACATCCGACGGAGGAGGAAAAACAGGCGACGTGGCCCAATGAGATGCCCAAGCTTGGCCCTTATTTCGTCTTATAGAGATGTAGCCCTTTCTTCTGGACTGTGCTTTACAATGGCCACATTCGGCTTACCTTATAATCCGCATTATTTAGCTTGTTTTTCAGACAGAACAGTGTTTTTCTCTCACAACAATTAAGTCAGAACAGTATTTTTCAGCTAATTCAGCCAAATTTCAGCAAGCCGAACGGGGCCAATGGGTGCGTTCAGTTAGTGTTATATTTTCGATCATGGATTCATGGTACGTCTGGGATGTTGGAATTTGCACTTGCAACACCTGCGGATGCTACTGAATGCCTGTTTGATTCAATAGTGCTAATAGCTACTCTGGAGTCTACGTCGTCACTGCTTCCATTTGATCTAGCTCATGCACAGCAGCTGCTGCGTTCCCAGTGCCCCAGTGATTCGTTACTGGTCCTTGGAAAAATCGAATAATTCTTTATATCTTTTGTAATAAAAATACTGGTAAAAAATTGAATAATACTCTGTTCGGACTTGTTATGGGCTCTGAAAAGAGCTCATACACGGCCCAAGTATTCGTTTATTGCCTTGGCCCGATCCGAATCGTGTAATGAGACGAAGAGTCGTCGTTGCCTCTGTGCCTCTGGGTTTTCTTCCCCACGCTGTTATCTCTCGCAGTCGCACGCAAACGACTAGCACAGCAAAGACCCCACCTCCCTCGCGGCACGGCGACGGCAATCCACCGCGGCTCGCTGCCTTCGCCGGTGATCTGGCCTCTTCGAGTCCGGGCATCAGATAATCATCCCCAGCCCCTCCCTTCCCGCCGAATCGGCGCGGAGAGGGATGGCGTCCCGGCGGGGCAGCAGCAGTTGCGCGCTCTGCGAGGGATCCAACCTGCCGTCCTGTTGCGCCGTGTGCGTCAACGCGAGGTAGGAGTAGCATCCACCCTCGCGTCCCGAAATTCGGCTAAAGTTTTAATCTTCCTGGTGAAATTTCTCATACGCCTGCCGGTTTGGATTTGGGTTGGGTCTTCCGCAGGCTGGTCGAGTACCACACGAGGCTGCGCATGATGAGGAGCCTCCGCGACTCCCTCCACTCCCGAATCGCCGCACGCCTCGAAGCCAAGGTTGATCTTCCTCGCCCCCTCTCCCCCCTCTGACACACCTCTATCAATTCGACAGCCAACTGAGCCTATATTAATTAGTTATAATTACCGGGTTAAAATTTGGGAGAATTATGTATTTAGCACTGAAACAAACCAGTCTTCCGCATTTGACACTAAAAAATCTAAACTTTCTTATTTGGCACCAAGTTGAAATTTCCTTCCCTGAGATAGCACCGTCCATTCATTTTGGCCAAGAAACGCATCAAGTGGCTGGTAAAATGACATGAATGCCCTTCTTTGTAGCAGAAATACATGATGCCAAATGGGGAAATAATAGATGGACATGTTGTCAAATAAGAAAATTATAAATATCACAAATATATTGTGAACTAAAACATGAGATTTTGATAATCGAAGTCTGCAAATAAATAAATAATAATTTTCAATTTCTAAGGCAAGAGCAGGTCCCGCTGGGGTAGGCTTAGCACGGGAGGGATTTGCCCTGTCTAGTTAGCTTGGTCAGAAATTTTTTGATGCAGTTTAGCAGCTCGCTCATCTTAGTTTGGTCAGTCCTATATTCTTGTCAGATCATCGCAAGACATGAAGACAACAACAAACAGATATTTCTCCACAAATGCTTAGAATAGTACAGGTTTGAGCATCTGGTGTCACAGCTAGCACCTTACCTTGGGTCTGAATCACTCCTACTTATTCCTGATCTCTCAATACTTCAATTCTCTTCCTAGTCATGTGATTTTATTTGTATGTTTAGAGAGCTAGTAAACCATGGGAGGCATAGTATCAATATAATTTCCCTTCATTTACAAATGCACCCACAATAATGCTTGTCAATATCTATGTTTCTGTCTTACAAATTTTCAGCTTTACGATCTTGATCAAGGGCCTGATTCTATGATTCCAGACAACAATAGTATCACATTTTTATGATTCTTATGTTTAAGATTGTATATGATTGGGATCTTACGTGGACTCCAACCCAACTTATAATCTACGACTGGACAACCTTAACGACAATGCAATCCTTCAATCAACACATGGCAGACCCAATTCAACATTCCAAACCCCAAACGAACATATTCGAGATGTTCTGGTAATTCTTACTTGTGCATACAGTACTTGTACTCCTGGCCTCGAGCATAGTCCAACTCCCCTTCCTCAAGCTGCACAAGGCAGCCAAGCAAAAAAATCAGTAAATCAAGTATATCGCAGCTGCTGAAACCCCACATCCTGATGCCACCACTCACTGGATCGCCGCCGTATATGAGGTCGTAGCACTCCGGCGAGAGGCAGCGCAGCACGCAGTTCTCCTTCTCCGTCGGCGAGGACCTGCACACCCAGCCCCACAGCCCGCTGCGGTATGGCAGAGAGAAACCACTGTCAGAACTCAGAAGCATCGCATCGGATCGTTCCACTGAACAGAAAACAAGCAGAGAACTCATCATCCTAACACGTGCTTCTCGGCGTCAGTGTAGCAGGCCTCTTTCTTCCGCCGGATCTCGTTGTCCCTGCGCGCGGAGTTCGTAAGGCGCGATGAGATGGATAGAGACTAGAAGAGGCGGACGGAGGAGAGAAGGCGGGGTCGAGCCAGGCGGGAGACGTACTGAGATGGGGCGGCGGTGACGACGAGAGAGCGAGGGTGAGTACTAGGAGATAGCAGGCGGAGGAATCGCCGTGGATTCCGGATCCAAGAACATGCCCCCACAGCTGCCTCAGGGCACTGCGGCGCCGGGAGCCGCCGCCACCTCGCCTCCTCTTCTACGCTGCTGGCTTATGGGAGGGGCCGCCCGCCTCCATCACGCCAAGCGGGCTAGCTGGAGCTGCGTCAGCCCCGCCCGCCATGCGACAGCGCCACGGCCCGGCTCCGGCTGGGTGAGGTCGCCTCGCAAAGGGCACGCAGCAATCAGTGTGTTTGGCGCCGGCCACCACAACATCCTCTCGCTCCATCATCCTCTCCTCCTTGATGTTTTTTTTTTCGGGAAGAAGGTCACGGACTCACGAGAGACGGGAGCGCTTGGCCGCTCGGAAAGTTCAGGGAGAAATTGGATGTGTGAGTAACAGAGGGTACGTTGGTCACACTAAAAAAATTGACACGGTCAAAATAGTTAACTATCAGATGAATGAATGAAATGGACGGTAGTGCCATCTAGGGAAGGAAATTTTAACTTGATGCCAGATTTGAAAGTTCAAATTTTTAAATGTTAAATACGAAAGACTGATTTGTTTCAGTGCCAAATACATAATTCTCTCTTAAAATTTAGCATGGGGACAAATACAAGATGAATATACCAGAACCAGGCATGATGGTGGCGGGAATAACTATGCCGAACCTTGAATTGCTGTACATTTATGTTGTCGTTAGGGAATTCATGCTGAAACGATTTAGTTGTGTCCCTCGTGTATTTTTTTTGACAGAGCAAAACAGATGAGCAGAGGATCTGGAGAGCAAGCAAAGCACAGGATATCATGGAGTTGAGGGATCGGCTCACTGAATTGAAGAGAAAAACTGCCATAGGTAGGTCACTCAGTTTCACACTGATTGTCTGTGGTTGCGGGTGGGTTAGTGTCATGGTGATGTCATAGGTCAACGTCTTCCACACTGATAAATTTTGTTGGTTGTTGTTGGTGGGGTTAGTGATGCTGATATCTGCTTATTGCTGTTTTTGCAGACAAGACCAAGGTCGAGCAGGCATCGAGTGATCTCAAGGCAAAAACTGCGTCATTGAATTTGGCCTTTGTCACGGTATGCGTATCTCAGTGTTCATCTAGAACAAAGTCATTGGATATCTTGCTAACCCTGCATATGCTTTGTTTGTTGTTGTCAGCTGAAAAAGAGGCGAGCTGATGCAGTGGCCATGCACACCAATGCCATGAAAATTGCGCAGATGAATCTCGTAAGTCTTAATACCCCCCCTTCCTTTTCATTACTTGTTTAGTACACATAATAGTAGTGTAAACTGAATCATCCATCAGCTGTGTGTTTGTGCTTATTCTCTTGCAATTGAAAATATTTTTCTTTGTTGGCAGATGGCAACCACCTCAGATTGTATGAAAATGCAATCAAAATCTGTAAAGCAACTTTGCAGATTGTTTCCAATGCGACGAGTAAGTTTCTACATGCATACATATATACTCTTGTGATCCTTGGTTGACAACCTCACCTGTCAAGATTCGATTTTGATCATATTTGGAGAATGTTGTTTAGGATAGTTTGCTCAACATCTTCCATGTTAACATCATAAGTTAATTGTGTTATATACTTATATCACAACCACCTCTTGTCGTTTTTAGCAGGCCTAACAGGATTTAAAAGGTCAAACTTTGACCAATAATTAGTCAAATCATAGGGACGCTTAATGAAGATCTTAACTCTTTGCTGATTATGCGTTTAATGGTGCCTCTCCAAATCCCCATAAAGTGCTGCAGTCCGTGTTTAATAAAGGTTCTTTGTCCATAAAGTGCTGCAGTCTGTGTTTAATAATGGTTCTTTGTGGTGTGCAGCAGGGGCGAATCATCTTCATATGCTCTTTCTTCCTGAGAGTTTTTTTTCTTGGGATTGATTGTTTTTCCTGGTGTGTGAATTGTAACTGTGAGGCAGTTAGGCCTTAGGGCATATATACAAACACCCCTTTTCTTCTTCTTTAATGAAATGATATGCAGGTTTCCTACGTGTTCACCAAAAAAAACTTATGAG